TAGTATTTCCCACAATTTAATGTTTTATAATTTAAATTGCGAAAAAATCGAAAGCACCTTCAAACAAAAGAAAATATCCCAACCATAGATATATATATATATATATATATATATATAGTGGTCTTTACGCAGCACCCTGTATGTATGCAACGTGTTCCGAAATGAAATTTCTTAATATATATTTTCTAAATTTTTGTTAAGAAATGAAGTATACAAACTTGTATACTTAGGAGCGGCAAGCCAATACTTCATCTAATAATGTTTTAAAAAATTCTGATAAGTTACCATGGAGGAAGGGATTAAAAACATCGAAAGCGGAAGTTGCTTTGATTTCTTTATTAATCGAGCGACTTGTAGTACTTCTCTTGAATTGCTTGTGGGTCACATTCCTCTTCAATTTCACTGGATTCATAACCTATTTTTTAACATGTATTTATACAATTCCCCAATACGATATATTAAATTAAGAAATCAGGCACAAAAACATACATTCGCTAAATAAACATGTATTCTTTTCGACGGAATATTATTCCTGGCCCTCAAAATATGAGGGTAGCCATAATTAGGAAAATATGGCCTCAATAGTTTTTTTCAGGAGAGTTTTAAGTTCGTAGCGGTTAAAATACATACGGCTTGAGTAAAAATTGATAGCTCAAGAACCATTCGACTGTTTAGTATTTTCTCGGAGCATATCTTGTACGGATGATGTTATGTTGGGTACCTTTTAGAGAAAGGTCTTGAGAAGTATTTTTGGAGGAATTCAAAAAAAAATGTGTGTGGCTTAAAAGAACAAATTTAGAGCTTTATATATCTCATATAACTCATATATAATGAACCTGACATTATTAACTTCATTAAATGACAAAGAATAAAATGGAACAGGCCACGCCATCTGAATGGGTGAAGACACAGAAAGAGTTTTCAATGAAAGACCAGTTGGCACTCGAAAAAGAGGCAGGTCGAATTTGAGATGGATATAGATGGCCTAGAGAAAGACCTTTTGATCTTAAAAACTAAAAAATGGAAAATGCTAGCAGGAAAAAGGCTAGCCTGAAAAAATCTTCTTATGAAAGCCAAGGCCCACCCTGGGATGTAGAGCCATTGATGATGAAAATTATAAAAAATATAATAAATAATTATTAAAAAAAAACAATTTTTGCATCTTTGGATTAACGAATTTTATAATTATGTGCAAAATGATGAAATCTTGAGACATGTTGGAATACCCAAGAAGTAAAATTATTATTAAGGGGGCAAACTTTTGCCCGTATTATTATTGATAAAACTGTTTAGGACCATTTTGCTCCAGATTGTGATGACCCCTACCCCATATTCTGTGAGGATCCAGAATCAAAAAAGTTTTATGTATGATTAATATATCGTCTACACTAATTAATAAGCATATTTGAGGTGAAATTCTTGAACCATAGGAATTGAGGTGAAATTCCGATCATTAATCCGTTATTCAGGGTGAGCTATTTTTTTTCAACATAAAAACAATAATTTATGTTATACTGAAATAAATAGAACTGCCTTATTTCAAGTATGAAATCACGCTTCGAAGCCTGTATATCTGTAATGGGGGAACCTACCCCCTATTTTTTTAAAAATTTATTCATCAATCGCTGTTTTATACCTTCCTCCAACGAGTGTTAGGCATGATCAAGAGTGTGTATTACAATTGTTGAATGGTTATTTGTTTTCTACTGTATCAATCTATGTTCACATCAAATTTCATTAAAATTGGCCCAGGAGTTCTACAGATAATCGACCTGGTCAGCAAATTCTCTTAATTTCTTCTTACATTAGTTATAAAGCAAATTAAGATTTAATGTTTTACTTTATCGCTACATTTATTAGCTTCTGCATGACTTGCTTTCATTATTAAGCTGTCTTAGTACTTTTTAAGTAAATTCATTATTTTATTTTTATTTTTTTACGGCATATAAGTAATCAATAAAGTTGTAATCAATTTAATTTCCAAATGACCACAAAATATCATAATATAGAAATGATTTTAATGTTGAACATGAGATTAATTACTGTTCCTTTACATTTTTTTCTCGTGTGAATAATTATTTGTATTTTACAAGTTGTCCTTACTGCTTAAAATAGCTTTTTTTTTTCATTTTCTTTTTTTAGTCTTAGTGGATTTTCCATTGGACAAGAACGAGCTCATCTTAAACTTCAAAACTGACAGCTACCAACAACTTTCAGGTTTTCGAATTGAAGCTAAGCAGTTGACGTCGGGATGTCCTCCACCACCTCAAAACAAAAGTAAGAAAATAGGTTTGCATTAAAAGGTTTTTGTTGAGTTCAAATAAACCTTATTTTGCTATCTGGGATAAGTTCTATTTTGAAGAGTATCAACTGATCTTATTTTCAGGTTGCGACGAAGTGTTTGCGACAGAGACTTTCCAAATGATAAGTCCGGGATATCAGGCTGGTTCTTATCCCGATAGCAGCGATTGTCAGTACACCATAAAGAAATCTTCCTTCCAGGTGTGCGCACTACAGGTGAAGTTTTACACTTTCGACATCGAGCAGACAGATGACTGCGACAAAGACTATTTGGAAATAGCAGAAGAAAAACTGTGCGGCCGTGTAGAGTACGACTCAGTCAGTAAGTAGATCATGACAAATTTTGAATTTTTTTTTAAGTTTAATATTTTTAAAAGTTTCGCTTACAGACAAATCATAAGTAGAGTCCCTGTATCCAAAGACCTGTTTCTAACCAAGTTCTGGAATCAGCGAACTTGGAAAAATTTTTCTCTCCAAGAAATTGGATGATTCGTCGACACTATCCAAGTTCTTGAATGTCACTGATTGGTCGGATGAAAAACCTACGCATGGGCATTGTTCATATTCAACATTATAAAATCATACTGAAATGAATTCAAAATTACTATATATGTAAATTCAAATAAAATCATAATAACACAAATAGAACATAACATAACAGATTAATTTATTTGGATTGAAAAATATGAAAACGGAAAACAAATGGTATAATCTGATGCCTGCTTGTTGACGTCACACAACTTTAGAAGCTGATTGGTGAAGGGATGAATCACTTGAATGGAAAGTAGAGTATGCTCTACTATAGCCGGCTGGCCTGTGTAGGGGGTTAGGGAACTGCCCTTGCATCAGAAAGGTTCTGGGTTCGAATCCCGGGCAAGGCATTGATGTTCTTTCTTTCTCTGTACTATCTGTCCTTACTGTGGGAGCAACGTTGGCTCACCTAATATGGTGCCCCTGAAAGAGTGATCAACAAATCTGCCCTTCCCTGTATGACGTAAGTCATTCTCCAGAAGGACATGAAACAAAACAAAAAATGATCTACTATTATCCAAGAACTTGGCTGATCGTTTACACGATTCAAGCAAGAAGCAAAACAAGTTTTCTTCAGTTTCTATTAATCTTTGTCCAAGAATTTTCGTATTAAACAGGCCTTAACGCATTCGGAGAGTTGCAACAATAAGCTTCAAAACTGTCTAGATCGGAATAGCGAACGAGAAAGATTCAGAAACCTGGCTTGGCGAAGTTTCTCCCTTGCCGAATTTGCATAAATTATTGTTTAACAGAGTTTTTCCAAACTCTTTCGCAAAAAAAATCTTTAAAAAAAGCCTTCTTTTAAGTGTTTTACACTTAAGGTAAAGCTATAATATTTAACTATATATACCATCTTGCCGTAAAGAATTATCTGAGCTTTACAACGGAACTTAAATATTTTAAGTTTACCTTAAATTATTTAACATTTTTAAAAATCTCCCAATTGGCCAGATTTTTTCATATGGATAAAAAATTTTGAAATCAATGCATTGTTCTCAAATTTTGATAAGCGCAGATAATGCAGAGATTAAAAATAGAGTTAAAAAATAAGATAAAAAACGCTTTCACAAAATTGTGTCTCTTCTTCAGATTGATGTTTTGTGCCACTTTGAGAATTGACATAGAATTCGCTGGCTAGGTTTGAATGAATTTAATGTTTAAAAGAATTTAATGTTAAGCAAATATATTACTAAGTTGATTAATAAAATAGAAAAGGAATTAGTTAAGAGAATTAAACTAATATAAAAAAATTATAATTACTTAAAGAAATTTAATTTTACGCATAGATATTACTAAGTTAACTGATTAAAAGAACTGTGTTTTAAACACTGACGTTTGTGTTAGTGTTTTAGGCACAGTGTTTAGTTGTATTAAAAAGTATGAATTAAAATAAAATGAATAATTAAAAATTCTCGATTGTTTATTCAGCGTTCTCTTGTCTCATATTATAATTTTAAGAAAATTATGTTAAGTGCATTTTTAATTATTGCAGGGGGGCGCACCTTAGTCTATGTACGACACTGTTTTTCACTGAAATATTTGTTAGCAACTTTAATGAGTATAGATTTTGACTTCAACTTTAAAAATATTAAACAAATATACTTTAACATATTAGTTGTCAAAATGTTCTTTTTTGCATTTACAGGAACTTATGAATTTTTGGAAGACGAAACAACAATAAAATTCCACAGTGATGGCTACAAGAATGGAGCAGGATTTTTCTTATTATTTGAACAAAAAGTTTGCTAGTTGCATCCATCCTAATTACCATTCTGCACTTGTAAATAGACATTTCAGACCGAACAAAAGGTTGGGTTTCAATGCTGGAAACAAATGTTATACCATTTGATTTAGGAGGAATAAATATTTTAAATTTTTTGTACTTTTGACTTCTCAGATATTTATCATCAATGCTGAAAGTTCAAACTTCGTGAGGGACACATTTATGACCTTAAAATAATTTAATCCTTTGCAGTCGTGTGTCTGATTTATGCTATCAGTTTCCATTAAGTATCACCAAAAGGTTAAAATTCGAAAAGTTTTATATACACCTTGACTTGTCTCATGTTATTACAATTTAAGCAAACGATTATCTGTGTACGTAACAAGTATCTTTTCGAACTCATTTCTTTTTAATTTTTTTTTAAACATTTCTTTTAAATTAATTAATCCTGAATCATTTCGTTCTTCAGAAAGTTTTCAAAATGTTATAAACTTGTACTTCAAAAACGGGCAACCGTTTTGCTTCGATAGTGATCTAACGTTACAGTTGAATTAGGAAACCTGTCACCATCGAATAGCAATCAAACAGGCTTGAAGAAACCGAATCGAAAAAGCGCGTTTCAGTTGCATTAGGGTTAAAAAAAAAAAAGAAAAAAGGGGGATGCACAAGTGTCTACTTTTTTAGGAATCAGAAATTATAGAAGAGATCATATAATCCTCCTGAGTTAAGAAAAATCCTCCCTATGGAGAGAGCTTGTTTGCATTTAATTGCACGCCAAATGGATGCCAAACTCCCAGTGCTAACGAATATTAGCATCGTCAAATCTTGAAACGACTTTGCACGGCCTTCTTTTTGCTTGCTTTCTCAAATCGTGCTAAATGAGAAAAACAAAATTTATTGAATAATCAATTTACAAGTAATAACAATAACAACTAATAAAAATGATATCTAAAAATCGTAACAAATATACGTAGAGACTGATTATCGCCTAGTCCCAATTGTGAGGGGCCTCTAANGTAACGAAGTACAAGTAAAAGTACGTACTTTTTACTTGTACCGGCGGTACAAGTAACGAAAGTAAAAGTACTGCCATATATGATAACAACTAATAAAAATGATATCTAAAAATCGTAACAAATATAAGTAGGGACTGATTATCGCCTAGTTCCAATTGTGAGGGGCCTCAAAAATTAGTAAAACGTCTAATGAATGGTGGGCTAACTTTGAGTTGGTTTAAGTACTAAATAAAAAATAATTATACGTCTTACAATGAAAAATAATTCAGCTAATCCGTGACTTTTAGCAAAAATCACTGATTTAATTTGTGTGTGGTCACCAAACTATTTTTATTTTGACGAAACATTGTTTTGTTGTTTTACATTTTGCTTTAATTTATAGATACGTATATCTCAGAAAAATAATCTTCAATTGTCTGCTTTCGAAATTTCCTAGAATGTTTCGCTTGAATCATGCATTTCAATAGATTCTTTTTTATTGTTAGGACTACTCTTCAGTAATTTAATTTCAAAATATTTTGTACGGGGCCTGGAAAATTCGGTGGGCCTTAATCCTGAATTTGCCTTGATCGGTCCTGAATACACGCCTTTCTGTTCGCATTTGAGGAGACTCATAGAAGAATAATAAACATTGTTTCGGGCAGACGATTTTCTTCTACGGCGAAACTAAAGTAAAATTTTTTTAGCTAGCATTTGATTTGTTAAGGGCATGTCAGCAAAAGCCAACCATTTTTGGTGGTCTGATCAAACCTAAGGCTCCTATACTATCAGAGCTGACCTATCAAGCAATATTGGAGCAAAAAAGTTTGCAAGTTAACGTTATGTTAGTATTGTGCTTATGTTAGCTCTTTGGGGAAAAAATAGATGATGAGTCGGCCTGTCTAATTCAGGGGCTCTAATCAAACCCAATGCTCATGCTACGTCATATAGTTGCTAATTTCCAAGAATGAAATGTTCTCCTTATTTATCGAAATATGTCGTGAAGTCTAGGATTTCTTGTAAACTATTACCTTTTCTTAATATTTCAATGATATATGCATAAATATCGTAAAAGAGAGTACGGACGTTATTAGCTTTCAAAAGCTTTTATTTTGTTTTGAAAGCATATTTGCATAATTTGATAACGAAATAAAATAGAACGCTATACAGTCACGGATGATTACTGCCATAGTCTTTTTCTGAACTTGCAACGGAGTATATTTTATTTTATACTCGTCGTTGAACAGCCGACACAGTTTTTGGGTAAACAACTACTAATGTTCAACTCCGTAGCCTTGTGATTTTGAACTATTCCAGAAGACAATGTAATGTAACTCCTGGATTACTACCCCTTGAGGTATGATTTGTTATGGGAACATGGCGGACTTCGTGACTCGAAAGGTTTAACGTGCATCAGCCACCATTTACTACACGGGGAGTCTTCGGTCGGCGAGAATCGAGCCCATGACCTCTTGGACATGGGCCCAGTGTCCTACCAACCAGGCTCTCCCGGCCCTTGCAACGGAGTATAGAAACGATTAATTAAAAAAATAAATGAGTGGCTTATTTTTGAATGATATCGTCTATTTTGGCTATTTATTTAGACAATAAATCATGCCTTAATGATACTTTTTTACCCCATATCATTCTTAGTATGGGAAAAGTCTAAAAACAAATACCATTGAAAATAATAACAAAAGCATAACATTACTTTTAAGGCTACTTGTACTGTAAGAAAAATTAAGGAGCATTCTCGCCGAATGTGGTTGCCGCACTTCCGAACACCGTCGAGAAAATATGAGAAATTTGATTGGGAAAACATATTTTTCCTCGAAAAAATCACTAATCAGGTTTCCTTATTCCTTCGTGAGGTTCTGCAACAGCTTTTGGCGAGAATGCACCTTTAGAAGTTCTGTAACATACCACTGAAATAGTCCCGTAGTGGACTGATCTTTAAGACACGGTTCCCAGCAGATCACCGAAGTCAAGCATCACTGGCTGCGGTTAGTGTGCGGGTACGTGACCACTTGGATCAGTCTGCGTAGATACCGGGGGTGTGCGGTATTGGTCCTCGTTAAACTGTTCTACCGTAAAGTGCTCGACTTCGCGTGCAGGTCGTCGGTCTACCAAAGCGGGGGAGCCATATAAGACACGGTTCCCAGCAGATTACCGAAGTCAAGCATCACNAAAAAATTTTATTATATACTCCTAACATTTAGTCAAGCTTTGTGGTGCCCCCCTATCCCCTGGTGCCCTAAGCACGTGCTTAGTGTGCTTAATGGTTAATCCGGCCTTGACTAAGGCCTAGTCAAGCCTAACATGCCGGTGTAACATATCACTATGGCTTAACTAAGCCTAAAGCAGTGATGAAACACATTGAGGCCTAGCTAAACCTAACGTGGTGGTCTGAAACATGATTTAGGCCTAGTTAAGCCTAACATGTCAGTGTAACATATCACTAAGGCTTAACTAAGCCTAATTTGGTGGTTAAACATATCCTTGAGGGCTAATTAGGCCTAATGTAGTGATGTATGGCACCTTTAAGGCCTAACTAAGCCTAACAGGATGATATAAAATTATTTTAAGGCTTAGTTAAGCCTTACGTGGTGCTAACGTAAATCACTAAGGCCTAGTCAAGCCTAACGTGGTTGTCACGCATATCATTAAGGCCTAATTAAGCCTAACCTTACGGTGTAACATGTCACTAAGGTCGTGATAAGCCTAATCTGACAGCGTAACATATCATTATGTTATGGTGACTGTTCTCACTGCATTCGAAAATGCACTAAGACGAATGAGAATCTCAGTGGTAAAATACATTTATGGACGAGAACCTAATTAACGAGTTTCTCGCCTGTTAATATCACTGTCTCATACCACCACGTTAGGTTTAGCTGGGCCTCACTAATGTGTTTTATAACTACTTTATGCTTAGTTAGGCGTTATAGATGCGTTACCACCCTCTTTTATCACCATGATATGTTACACTGTCAGATTAGGTCTAACTTTATTTCAGTGGTATGTTACAGAACTTCTAAAGGTGCATTCTCGCCAAAAGCGGTTGTTCTCACTGCATTCGAAACTGCACTAATACGAATGAGAATCTCAGTGGTAAAATACATTTACAGGCGAGAAACTCGTCAATTAGGTTCTCGTCCGTATACGAAATTTTGAGATTTTTTTTCTACATGCAAGAATGCCTCTAAGGCCAAAGCAGTAAGGAAACATATTATTAAGCTTCTATAAACCCAACGTGAAAATCAGATACATTACATGGGGCATATTAAGCCAAACGTGGCCGTGGCGAAGTAACATACCATTAAAACAGAGGAAAAACTAGCCAGACAGTTAAACAAACAATTAAATCTGCATCCAAGCACCATGAACGAATTTACGACACTCTAAGTACGATCAGGCATCGAACCTTCTAGCACATAACCCTGCCCTACAGATGAATATAGAACATTCTTGCCAGATTTCTGTTCCTGTTGAATTCTAGGGATGTCTTAAGTTGCAACGACACACAGTCAACCCTCGATCCCAAATATCTAAGTGAAAACGGACGTTATAACGCGAGGTCGCTATATCGTGACTACATAAAATGAGTTCAAATATTTATTTATATTTTATAAATATTACACTTTAAATAGAATTAAGAAACTGACAACTACGCAGTTTTTATAGCCGATCGCAACGCTGAAATACGCCATTTGGATGGAAAAGACCGGTTCCATTCCCTTGCCTCTCCTCCTGTTTTCAGTTGTTTAGGAATGTACTTCGATATTTTCCCTATTTCTTATAATATTTCAAATTTAATTGTTAAAAATATTTTTTTTAAATTTCCATGACTCTTTCTTTTAGAACGTTAGTAATGTAGTTTAATGTAGTTTTCAGTTCCATACAGTTTCCTATTTTAAAAGATTTTAATCTATTTGAAAATCAAGACAGAAAGTAACGTACTTCCTTCTTCTATGTTTTACTTATTTTATTGAGATTACATACATTTGCTGACTTGTGTGCTCAATATAGGCTTATAAGTCATTGTCAAGTAGAAAATACAGATAGAACAATTCAGAGAAAGACATCACAAAGAATACATCCAGGGTTACGGCGGGATTCAAACCCGCTACCTCCACGCTTAACAGAGCGTTTGGACCGACGATA